GGGTTTACAATGGTGAATTTCTCTCGATTAATTCACGCGGGTCAATGTTTGATGGATGAACCATATGTATTTTCTTCTCAAGTGAAACAAGTATTTTATTGTCACGATCCAATAGATGACGGTTGGCATGTTGTGCTTCGAAATACTCCCAGAGACTTGATAGACATTGGGGATGGAAGTAGAGATGACATTGAAGCGAGATCAGAATGTTTACCTCTACTACCACAAAACTTAGATGAAACTATCACTAATACAACACAATTTCAATGGGTTCGGGAGGACATTGATGAATATATTTATGACAACTGACATTACATAAGACTTTTGTACGATTTTAATATCTTCATTTATTTATTTATAATGTTATAACCTTTAACATGTTGTCTTTCAATATATTCATTAATTAATTCGTTTTTTTATTACTCATGTTTATTTATTATAGATATCATGCCGAGGAGAAAAATAACTGATTTGCGGGTTGTTCGAGCTTCTGAAGACCATGAAGAAAGAAATAACGAGGAATCGAATGCACCTGAGTCTTCCGAAGTTCCTGAAACTGTTGAAGAAGAAGTAGAAATTCAAAGTAATCTTTGAAACATTATTTATTACTTTGTTCATTTTCAAAACTGGCATTTAATAATTTATTATATAGTTGAAAATGTTGGAACGCGCAAGACTCGAGGACGTACAACTTTGAATGAATTATACCAACTTCCTCATGGGCATCATGTCAAAGTTTCAAGAAATGATACCGGTCAACCTATTGGTCCAGAATCACGTCTACTAGCAGGTTACTTAGGCATAGTTGGACGTAATGCGAATCTGTTACTGATCAATTACGAGTCATAGCGCGAAATGCCTAATAGTAACAAAAATCAAGCGTTGGATTTTGTTAAGCTAATAATGTCATTATAATAGATACTCTATGAAAATTCAATACTAATTTATACTTACGGTGCACACTTATTTGCTGTATAGAAGAAATTTTCTTTAGAGGTCTCTGACGATTATGTGAAGCAAGCGTTAGGGAAGAGATGGAGGGACCACAAGAGCTCCTTAAAGAAGAAATACTTCAAGAATGATCTCATTCTTGAAGAGAAATTGCAAACAATCCCACCAGGAATGCTTAGGTACCAATGGGAAGATGCAGTCAGATTTTAGAGTACAAAAAAAGGACATGTATGATGTATTTTTCAAAAATAATTGTAACGAATTTTAAATCATCATTAAAAGTGATTGTTTTACATTATAGGACCGAGAGCATGTTGGTGTTGCTAGCAGGCAACAACAAAAGTTTACGCACACGGCTGGATCAAAGAGCTTTGCTTGTATAGCTCATGAGGAGGTATTATAGATTATTGAAATAGTTTTTTGTATTCCATGTACATACTAATTCATAGTAATTATATTATGGTACATTGTAGGAAAATACATCCGGTTCTAAAGTTGGTTGAATCCAACTCTTCGACATGACATATACGAAAAAGGATGACACTCCTATGATTGCTGACGCTACAGAAATTATGGTACGTTTATTGGGTAGACGTTTTAAATTTACCTGACTTTATTTATATTTGTACCATGACATTTTTTATTTTAATTAATTATTCACTTTATTATTAAGAAAAATTGAGGGAGAAAAAGGCGGAGCATCATGCTACTGCATCGAGTCACGGTATTGTTAATGATGATGACATTGAAAACCAAGCTATTAATGACGTTTTGCGTCCTGAAAGATATGGTCGGGTGCGCTATCAAGGGTCATTCGTTACTCCCACAAAATATTTTGGATCCAGCTCATCACAATACATGTCATCACAGTCTCGATCTTCCCACCACGAAGTTAGTCGTTTAAAAGAAAAGTTGGCTGAGATGGATCAACAAATGGCTAACTTGAAAGCGGAAAATGAAGCAAGGAAAGCAGAGAGAGCAGCAGCGGAAGCAGCCAGAGCAGCAGCAGCGGCACAGAGAGAAGCAGCGATAGCACAGAGAGAAGCAGCATATCAGCAGAGATGTGAAGAATTTGAAAAATGACTCAATGATATGATGCTAATGATACAAAAAACGCAACCTCAGAATCCATCATCGTAGTCTCATTTATGTTATAATGAGCATTATGTTAATGTTATTGAACCTTGTTTAACAAAACTTATATTACGTTAATGAAAACTTTATTTATTATATTGGATTTGATGTTGTTTGTTATGGATAAAGAGAATATATTATTGTTGTTTTGTTTGTTGGATAATGGAACAGGTTGAAAAAACAGATTTGGGATAATCAAGTATTATTTTTAAAACTGTTAAATTCTGTGTTATTTAGCGGCGTTTGTATACTAGAAATGCCACTATATATTGAATTTTAGCGGCGTTTGTATGGAAACGCCGTTAAATCTCAACACCTATTGCGGCGTTTTCAATAAAAACGCCGCTAATTTTCAACACTTATTGCGTCGTTTACGATACAAACGCCGCTAAATCTAAAAACCTACTACGACGTTTGAGGGGAAAACGCCGTTAAACATCATCACATTCTGCGATGTTTGAGGAAACGCCGCAAAATATCAAAACCTTCTGCGGCGTTTGTAAGTAACTAAATCTCAACACCTACTGCGGCGTTTATAGGGAAAACGCCGCTAAAAATCAACACCTATTGCGACTTTTTTTGACAAACGCCGCTAAATAACAAAACCTATTGCGACATTTTTTGTCAGAAAAAGCCGCTAACTTTAGCGGCGCTATTTTCAGCGGCGCTTTTCATAACTCCGAATGTTATTTTCACAGCGCTTAAAAACGCTGCAAAAAACCTGTTTTGCTGTAGTGTTATCCTAAAAGCCCCACCATCACAGATCCATGTCCCTTTCCCTTTCAATCTTGTTTAAAAACAACGGGGTCATTAAGTGTCGAGTATTGTTTCTTTGAGAGGTTTTGAGTCTAAACAATTAAGTTCGGGAGATGCGTAAATATTTTCAGATGGGATCCCTACTCCATATGCTCTTCATTATTCTTCCGCTTATTTGTAAATAATTATTTTATAACTCAAATTTTATACAATGAACTCTCTTCAACCTTAATCACCACAATTTAATTTGTGTATCAATAAATCTATTTTCCCCCTCCCAACAAGCATAGAAATCAAGAAGGAAAAAGGGGTTTGTATATGATTTTTGTGTCGTCCATATTCCATGGACTTACAAAATGAATCAGCACGTGCTCATATGCATGTATGATGATGCATCGACCAAAATTCTTCAAATTTGTAATGAGAAATAAAGCTAAGCTGAGAGCTAACATTCACAAAAGGGATTGGAATATTGGTTTAAATTATTATCTTGAAAGGTTTTGCCTTAAAAAGTTCCCTAAACATCTCATCAATTTGATTCCTATATCCAAACTAAGATGCCATAATGATTTTTAATTGGCTTTTATTTCATGTGATTGTAAATTTTGATCAATAAGTAATCATTCTTTTCAAATCATTGAGTAGGTGACTGTTGGAGAAAATGTCGAATACAAGTTATATATATTTGATGCTTGCTAACAAAGATACAATAAATTAATTACTAAATAAAATAAAAATAAAAACTAATTGATATGTCAAATCTTTGTCTACATGAAATAGGCAATTCGGTTGCTTCATAGTTTCTTGTCTGCTTAATTTTAATATTCAAACTGAAAAAAAGAAGAAAGTTTCTCATACCGACTGCAGTCTGCAAGGCAGAGCAGGTTAGTAGAATCTGAATGATTTTTTTGTCATTGCCATCATATAATTTTGGTTATCAAAATATGAAATTAGTTTATTTTTTTGGGTGATTTGAGCCAACAAAACATGGATTAAGATTCCTTAATGACGTGTTATAACTGTTGGTCTTGGAACAATCTAAACAGATTGTTTCTTAAACTATTGTTCCATTGATAAAACAACTCGATCCTTTGGTTTTCTTCTCTGCAACAAGTACAATAATGGAAGGTTTTTGGTTAAAAGAAGGGAAATAAAAAACAACTTGAAATGAATGCATGGACCGAGTATTGACCATAGCCGAAACCAGGCATGTTACCATGGTTACTGGCCAGGTTATTGTGGTCCTTCATGTCTGTTCAGTTTGCATCATGGCATTCAACGAGTTTTAATATACCCGGAGTTATGTATTTGAAAATTCTTCCCCAAAAAAAAACTACTATGTCCCATTTCCAAGGCTCATGTAAGTGACCTACACTTATTTGGCTACTTCGGTTCCTTTGGACAAAGTGCCAGCCAGCATGGGTTTTGTTGCAGCGCTTTCACAAAAGCAATCATGCTCCCTAAAGATGGATGAAACAAGGTTTTCTGGGGTCCTGTTTGATCAGTTTTTGTAGGCAAACATAGTGGTCTCTTCTCTATGCCATTTTCAATCCAACTTTCTATGCGTCTGTAAAGCTCCACAGATTCATGAACCTTTCATCTTATTTAGTGTGTGATGATGCCTCATTGGCCTTTGTTGCTCTGTGCAATCTTGCGTCTTACGTTTGCTTTATCTTGACAGATCGTGACTTCCCCTGTTTGATTAAATGTGGTCCACACGGCATTGATTTTTCCGGCTTACTTTATGCTTCTTTCTTCAACAAAACCTTTTCCTTGGATAAGCTCTTTTCAATTCAAATTGCCAAAACTTCCACCAAACAATCAAGAGATGAGGAAACTTCTTTGTTGCACAAATATATTGTATGTATAGATGTCATGTATGCATGGATGAATGTTACCTCAATTGCCCTAAGTCCGTAGTGTGGTCTGCTAAATAGTTATCTGGTTTTACTAATGATATTAGTAAGAGTCCAATTTAACACTCATTTTCCGATTTTACTGTTATGTTAGAAATAGTTCATTCGGCCAACCGATTTTACTGGTGATGTTAGAAATAGTTCATTAATCCAACGACAAGTCAGCTGCAAGTTCTGTATCTAATAAAGCAAAGAAATCACCAGTTATAATGATGGTTACAAGTAGTAATCTTGTTACCTATATTTAAAGCAAACCAGCACAAGGCTTTGTAGCCATGATTAAAAATACACATCACAGGGGAATTAGTTTCCCATAATCAAAGCTATTAATGATGTTTCCAATCCGTAGCCGAAACAAAAGGGTTGCATTTAGGTTCTAGAAACAGCAACCTCCACGGGCAAAATGTCAAGTGATCTCCACCATCACTAAACATGGTTCAAGCTTCCCACCAAAATTTACAGTTGACATTGCCCCAAAATAATGTGATTGATACGGTAAAGTTTTTACAAAATATTCTACCACATGCTTTCTCCATGATCCACGACAAACGTATTTAGTCAGTTACCTTTGCTCCAACCCCAAGCGATGTAGCTATCTTGTGATGCAAAGTCCTGCAAGATCAGTAACAAGCTCATTATAACAAGGACATATAACCTAATGATGCAAAGTCAGGAAAGAATATAACGTACAAGCTGACTCAAGCGGAACTCTGGTGGCGTATCAAGCACTATGTTTATTGGATCATCTTCCAGGTTTTGACACTCCTCCAGATCCTTCTTGAGATGTTCTGCTCCTAACAGAATGTAATCAGAAAGACGGGGTTTGCTGTCCAGCATTCCATCATTACCATTAGCATCGTCCCTCTTTGGCGACTGGCTTTGAAGGAGCTCATCACAAAGAGACAGCCCTTCCACTAGCTGTTGCGAATCCAACAAAAACTGTGATTCACCATCCCACCATTTTGAATCTTCCTCAACATGATTGCCATTTTCATTGTCATTGTCATTATCTAACATCTGATTAACATGATTTTCCTGACCAGGTAGATCATCGTGACTGGAACTTTCAAATTCAGCTGGAACTTCATCTTCAACATGCTGCATTGTAGGATACTTTGCTGAAAAATCCTGAGAGAAAGAGAACACCAGGACCTTTTTTTTTAAATGGCCACTTGCATCACAAAGCACATGTATGCATTGCCTCCACTTGTTATTAACCACGATTCGTTACATGAAAATCTCCTAGAAAACAATTTTTGTATATTATGGGGAAATGGAGTAATCCAAAACAATGAGATGTTTCTTGTCTGAGGAAAGGTAGCCTAAGAGAATATGGTCTCAATTATTATACGGCTTCAAGCAGATAAAAGGCAATACAGAACTCCAAGCCAGCTAGGAAAACATGAACAAGAAATTACCTGAGCAGAGGGGTTGATGCCAGAAATGGTATAGTCCTGTCCTTGGTCATATTCCTGGCATTGCCTCCCTGTTCTTGGAGGGTCAGGTGTCACAGACTTGGGAGTCACAGGATCTACTTTTTCAATCATTGAATCAGTCGTTTCAGGTAAATCCTGCTCAGTTTTATCAGCCTGTTTATTTTGTTGCTGTTGTTGCTGATGAAATATTTTAGAAATAACATACTCCCCGTCTTTTTCATCCTCCTCGATTCCTAGATGATATTGGTGCATCACCCAATTAGTCTTCTCCGCTTTTCCACCCTTGGTCATTGTCATATAGAGAACCATAATCTTCTTGCATCCTCTTTGAACACCATCCAACAACACTGGTTTTGTCCTACCAGTCTTATGCCAGCGGACATCTCCAAAATCATCACCATGGATCTTTCGACGTTTCCGAGTTCCAGTATTGTAAGCCTTGATAGCTCGATGAAAGAATTGGGACACGCTTCCATCTTCCTTAACCCCTAAAGTTTCAGTTTTCAAAATTACTGTTAGTAAAAAAGATGATTAAAAAAAGAGGTAGAGAAAACCTTCAATCTTTAACCAACCTGGTAATTTTTGGGGATGCGTATAACAGATTCCATCATCGTTTTCAATGGTTGGGATGAATTCATTGATGAACGGATGGGGTTTTGAATCTTCCACACCAACTTTTGTAAGTAAATGCCATATTATTTCTTGATCAGACGGATCAAATTTGACACCTCGAGGTAACCCTGGCCATGCTTGTTTCACCTAGAAACACACACCTTTAGTTGCTATGTACATTACATGTACCAATGCCCACTGTTCATTGTTATGAACATTAACCAATGCCATAATATTTATGGTTACTAGTAAGTCGAGCAAGAAAAACGATTGCTTAAACAGTGAAATCAGAACATCAAGAGTTTTGTTACATGTCCATAAAAACAATAATACTTGGATTATGATTGTCACAACAGTTATAATCTACAATATCTCCAAATTTCATTGAATATAATTGGTATACTAATGATAAATCTAGACATCTGATACTACATATAAACCACATTGCAAGTAAATTGCAAATAAATAGTTAACTGTAAGACAAAATTTAGCTCAGCTGAAATTAGGATTTTCCAAGTTAAAGCATGATAAGCATTTATAATACAGTGTACCTGACCTGACCAATAGAAGAGGTACACAGATGACCTAGTTAGGATGCTATATGGTAAAATCTTAGCTTCTATAAGTATCATTTCGTTTTATTGCTTATATGATGCTGAGAAAGGCCCCGTGCTACTAATATACACTCGAGATGCATAATGATGATCAGCACAGACCGCGATAAGCTTGTTCAACTAATCGCTTTAGGAACCGAAAGCATATAACATAAATCAATGGAAAAAGAGAGAAACTTATACATCACTGTTGTCGATAATATGACGGCAATTCGGACAAGATTTGGTCGGGTTGCTTTTCCATTCCGCCCTTCCAGGATCGGATGCACTCCTGATTTTTGTTGCAATTCTGTTACCATCCACCAACCATGTTCTGCATAAAGCACCCAAAAATGAGCAAAAGCCATCAGCATTAGTAGTTATGTTCTCCGTTATGGTATGCAATCATCATGTCAGTAAATAAAAACCCAGAAAATCAAAACATCATCTATATATGTTACATTAATGGAATACAACAACAAAAAACCCTAACCATAAACAAACAATTCGAATGAATTAACAACTGCCCATATGATCTTTTCACTTCCTAGAAAATATCAAGAAAATCAACAAGTTTTCTTCAAAAAGGGAAGGATTTTAGGAAAGGATTCAAAAGAACAATATAAGGAGCAGAAACTGCTCTACGCAAAGTAACCATTTTTCTCAAGAGAAGAGGAAGGCAATCAACTTACCCAGCCATGATATAAAAAGCAATAGATCAAAGCATGTGTTTTTCTTTTCCCTCGCAGCTTTGGGTTCTTTGGAAAAGGATTTTGAATATTCTACAGCAGAATACACTATTAGCTTCTCAGTTTATTTGAGGCACTAGATTTTTTTTAACTCATAAAATGTACTGTTTTTTATGTGGTTTTGAAATTTGAAACTGGATTAGTGGGATGTGAAAGGACGTATTTTTACTTTATAAATTATAGGAAAAAAAATCATTTTTTAAGTCTTAAAGCCAAATGTGTAGTCGCTAACAGAGCAGATAATTTATGGAAGTTTTGTTTTTTACATCAAAAAGATTCTATGCGATGCCTTCAAAGAACTTCCGTTGACTACAGTTTTGATCAACACCCCATTATAGCCATGCTTAAGAATTGAAAAGCTACCTTCTTCTTAATCACGTTGACTGATTGATTGACTGTGTTGGGCTTGAGATTGAACTCACAGCCTTAATCTTAGACTTTACAGAGAGCCCGGAACATTCATGTTCATGTCTGAAATGGAGAAAAACAACAGTATCTCACTTGTTGGGCTGTTCGGCTGGTGGTTTGTACCTGGACCCAGTTTTATGGAAATATCTTTTTACCAAATGTATTAGAATTTCAAGGATGTTGCTGCTTATAATTTAATTGTGTTAGATTTTATCTGTGAAAATAACTAGTCAGTATTCATCTTCGATTCTTCAAACAAGTAAATTTGTTTAACAATATATCTTTTAAAATTTATTATTTTTCAAATAAGTAAACTTGGCAAGGTAAATTTTGATTTTATCGAACAAGTTATTTATGTAGAAACAAACTTTTAAAAATATTATATAAAAGTGTAATTTAAAATTTAATTGTTTGAAATTATTATTAAAAAGTAAGTTTCAAAAAGTAAAATGTTCATTCTAGGCATTATAGCATTTAAATTATATTTACATTTATTAATATTAAGAGATATCAACTTAAATTATAATAAAAAATAAAAAATATTTTAAGATAATTTAGTAATAATATTTTTAATGTTAACTACATGGAAAGTCACTTATATTTTTGTTCTGTCCACTTTTGGTCATTGATTTCAAAATACATAAGATATGGTCATCTTCAATTTTATTTAATTAACATATGGTCTTTTCGTTTTTATTTAATTAAGATGTGGTTGTCACGAGTTAATTGTTGTTAACAATTAAAGGGATATGTGACGTGATTGTTAATATAATCACACATTTGGTCTCTGTTATTTACATATTATCTCAGTTTAGTCATACTTTTAAATAGATTTTAACATAAAATATATATTTTTAAATGAAAATAAAAATAAAATACTTTTAAATAAAATATTCTCCCAATTTTCTTTCCTTTGTTTTCTTTCAACTAAAGGGTGACACATGTCACTCTTTGATTGGTGAAAATAAATATATTAAATTAAAATAAAGTTAATCATCTAACCGAAAGGTGGCACGTGGCATTAGGTGTGAGCAAAAATCAACTCGACTCGAAGAATCGATTTTTTCGACTCGACTCATGAAAACTTGATTCTAATTAACTTCGAGTTCACTACAACAAAATAGAGTTTTAGTGGCGATTTTTTAGTCCTATAGCGGCGTTTTTAAGCGTCGCTAAAAGAACTTGCGGCGATAAGAAAAACACCGCAAGAAACGCCGGCGATACTAGCGCCGCTAAAGTTAGCGACGTTTGAGAACAAAAAACGCCGTATAGATCAAGATTTATAGCGGCGTTTTTGGAACAAACGCCTCAAAAGGTCGATATCTATAGCGGCGTTTTTGGATACAAACACCGTAAAAGGTCAGATCTAGTGGTGTTTTTGGATATAAACGTCGCAAAAGGATATATCTATTGTGGCGTTTTTGGATACAAACGCCGCAAAAGAGTAGATCTATAGCGGCGTTATTGAAAAACGCCGCTAATTACCTTGTCTTTAGTGGCTTTTGTTTTCTAAAACGCCACTACATGTTATGGTATTTAGGGGCGTTTGTGGTAAAAAAACGCCGCTATTAACTATGTTTATATTGGCGTTTTCTTCACAAAACGCCACAAAAGAATCTGAATTCTGGTGGCTTTTATTTTTTATTTACAAACAAACACCTAATATATAATTAACTGATTTCGCATATATCATATTCCACTTTATATTACGCAAACTTAATATTCTATAGCATTATCTAATAACAATAAAAATACAAAAATTAATTTCGAAACAAATGATGCAGAAAAATAAATCAAATTTTATAAACTTAAATTAAAATGTAACATAGTTCAACATTGTTCACTAGAATTTAGTCTAAGTTCTTTCTCTTTCAATTAAAAAAGCATTGTTCACTCAAATAAAAAACAATTTTCTAATGGAAATTTGTATTGATCTGCAACTTCAGTTGATTCTTTTCATCAGAATGTCCTTCAATTCAAATAACAATGAAAACAATGGATTCAGAGACAATATATTACAAGAGATATTTAATATCCTAAACAAATGAACTAAATCAATAGTACAAAACCATAAACATTATTTGCGTCATGAATTTTATCATGAGAACAGTTTTCCTACTGAACAGTATTGCAAGTTTGGAAACCGGAACTAGAAACTCTTGTATGGAGAGCGAAGCAATACCTAGAGTTTTGCATGTCATTTCCTGGTAAGGTGGAAACTGAATGTGATACGAGTTCGAAGAGCAGTTCACCAGTAGGTTCACACTGAAATGAAGCAACCTGTATCAGTGATAAACTAAATATATATCTCATAAAATTATTTTCAGAAGCTAGACAATTCATTATTTTCCCTCATAAATAAGGTTTTTTTTACTTTAGTCATCCAGAAAAAATTGACACAAAGCATTTGGTTTGGTAAATAAATTTGACTTTCCGTTTTACTTTGAGTGTTCATGGAGTGTGGGTTTTTGAGTCTTGGCAAAAGATAATTTTACAAATATTTTCAGTAAATTCATCATCTAATCATGAAGAACTGAAGTGATATATAAAATAAAATGCAGTGTAGGGAAACAAAGATGATGCAGGCAAGACAACACATGCAATTAATCACAAAACCGCATGCTACATCAACCACATGCAATAAGATCAAGAAAATACCCCCATGCATCAACTCAAATATGCATATGATTGAATTTGAGAAATTTTCCTTACCTGTAAATATCTTAGTTTCAATCCATGATTCGTGACACATAACAAGTTAAGCCTACACTAATAGCAATATGAGCCAACATGTAAATATTTCTCTCTACATATATATATATATATATATATATATATATATATATATATATATATATCGTAATAGTTGTGAAATCCTAGTGCAGCAAATAATAGTTGTCAGACATACATACTGCATTTTCTGGACATCATCTTTACTAAGTACACCCAATTTCCTCAAGCTCTATTCCAAGACTGAAGCACGAGTATCCCTAGCATTTAGAAATATCATATCATTGGCACCAATTATTCAGGACTCTAGAGAAGCATAAGGGGAAACCTGAAAAAACTCAAAATCTTTTCCAATTAAAAAAGAAGATTCACCATATGTGCAAAACTCTAATAAGAAACGTTTTTTCATAAGTTAATTTTATCAAGCCAAGTTCTAGAGTTTCTACAGGGAACTTATGCATAAATTAGTGCAAAGTTAAAAGTGCAGATATATCTGTTATATGTATTGAAAAATACCAACATCAATGGTTTAAATAGATCCCTAAAACTACAGTCTTTGAGATCTGCACAGATGACTCCCTTCTTGGAGTAAGCATAAATTGGACCAGAAGAGAAGAGTTAATAATATAATACTTCAGATATTCCTCACTACAAATATGAATTCCAAAGCCAATTAGTCAAGTTCCGAAAGCTATAATCACTAAGAGAAGAAACATATAAATCATAGCATCAGATCAAGAAGAAAATGTGTCACCTGTAAATCCTGAACAACTGTTGCTGGTGGCCGACTTGAACCATTTGTTGGGATAAATTACGCAACAAAGGTAGAACCCTGGGAGGTATAAGAGTAGGAGGTGTGTAAACAGCATTTTCTAAGTTCTTTTGGTGTCAGAATCTTTCTTGTTATCACCTCGCTTCGCAGGTGATGCTGACGGTCGCAATGAATCTGGCAGGTCATCGAAAAGGCGTTCATGTTCCACCACCTCACTGAAGTTCAAACAACATGTAGAACACTTTTAACATTTCTTATTATAAGATAATCACCAAACATATTAGCATAATGCAGTATAATTTTAAAACCAACCTGTAGTTTGTTAATAGATTTTTAAACTCATCTTTTAATTTTGAGATAGCTTTTGTCAGCAAATTATTGGCATGGGTAAGTACACCAGCTGTACTTTTAAAACTTTTGTGGTTAGTGAAATACTGAATGTTGCTTCTCAGCTGATCAATTGCTTCAAGATAGCTCTGAAGATCCTCGTGTGGACCTCTCAGAATCTTTGCCTCTGCCTATAGCACATAAAAATTAGTACAAACATCAGGCATTTACAATCCAAACAACATCTCATTTCCAAATTATATGGTATAATCGAGAAAATAAAAACTAAATTTGAAAATCAACTTTTGTTTGGCCGCAGAATAATACGAAATTATTCATCACGTTTAAAATTTAGAATTTGTCTTCTAACTCAAAGCGATTATTCTTCCTTTCTAGAATGAAATATTATATATATCGTGAACACCAAATAGATCCAATAAACAGATAATAATTAGGCTTATTTTATTAATACTATAAACAAATCAGCGATAAAATAACCGGAATTATTATCATGGTAACCATACAATGTCCAGAAGCGTCCAAAGAAATAATGCAGAGAATAACATGTTGGGGCTCAAGCATGCAAGGGTCATTGGCATTTCAATAATAGGTATGGGAAATATATACAGAACCTTGGCAAGTTTCTTCTCCTTGCGAGCTTGTCGCTCCCTCTCATCATATTCTTGGTTTTCCTTCTCAACCAATCGAAGGTGATTCCAGATCTGTAATCCAAAAACTCTAATCAACAGATCCCAATTTCTCGGTGATTAGTGCAATGATACAGGAAATAAAGAAACGAGTAGAGGATTTTCATGCATATTATTTTAGGTTTATACAACGAGAAGGGAACAAGATAACCCACCTTTTAGCAACTGATTGGAGTTTAGGGTCGATAGAACAAATCAGCGATAGAGAAACCCTAAGCAAGTAGAATCTCGAGCCGCTAAACACTGACGATGGATTGATCCACCGTAGAGAAACTTTCAAACATGGTCTCTTCGTAGTATTTCATATCTATCTTCTTTTTTATTTTTCTTTCGTCGAAGAGCTCTCATCGTCTATTTTCAAAGGAAGCAAGGGAATGAAAAGCCAGCTCCCACAATTTCCATTTTTTAGGCAGTATTTATTTTTCAGCAAAACTCATTTATTATTTTTCCTTTGTTCGAAACGGCTGTGGTGAACAGCTGGATCGCATTTATTTAATTCAATAAAACCACTGGCTTTTTTTTTGTCAAAAAAATAATGTAGTAATTTTTTTAATATTTATATATATGTCTTATATTATATGAGATGAACAAATGTAAATCAACAAACACTCATTTCAAAATGCCTTGATCCATTTTATTATTCTGCAAATCTCAAAATAATTAATAAAAGACAATTGTGTTCTCAATTTAAAGAATGTATTTACAACATAAAGTTGCTAGCAATAGGGGCTCCAACTAAAGCACGAGTCTATAACGGCATTTGTATAAAAACGCCACTAAAGCATGAGTGTACAGCGGTGTTTGTAAAAAAATCCACTAAAGTTAGAGTCTATAGCGGCGTTTGTATAAAAACGCCACTAAAGGACAAGTCTATAGCGGCGTTTGTATTAAAACGCCACTAAAGTATGAGTCTTTAGCGACGTTTACATAAAAACGCCAATAAAGTATGAGTCTTTAGTGGCGTTTGTATAAAAATGCCACTAAAATATGACTATATAGCGGCGTTTGTATTAAAAACGCCACTAAAGAACGAGTCTTTAGCGGCGTTTGTATAAAAACGCCACTAAAGTACAAGTCTATAGCAGCGTTTGTATAAAAACACCACTAAAATACGAGTCTATAGCGGTGTTTGTATAAAAACGTCGCTAAAGTACAGTCTTTATCGGTGTTTGTATTAAAAACGCCATTAAAGTATGAGTATTTAGCGGTTGTAATGGTTGTAATTTCATAAACTGTAGTCGACTCGAAAAAATTTCAAGTTCAAACCAAGTTTTAAAATACAACTTGAATAACTCGAAAAATTTACTAATTAGTGGATTAATTTTCAAGTTTGAGTTGAGTCTCTCGACTTTGTATCATAAATGTATATCACATATGAAAAAAATATATGAAGAAATACACATGTATTGTATATGGTTATAAAAGATCATTTAAATTGGAATCATATAATATCATAATATTAATAATTAAATTTAAACGGAAACATAAAAATTTGACTTAACTCGACTCTAAAAAATTTCAAGTCAACTTTGAGTTGTAAAATATGACTCGTCAACTCGAATAACTCGCATTTTTTTACTAGACTCGATCAAACGCTCACCCCTACGTGGCATGACATGTGACAACATTTGATTGGAGGATTGAATTTATTTTCATTTATTAAAAGTATGACTTAATTGAGAGAATATATAAATAACATGGACCAAATGTTTGATTATATCAAAATATTTAATTGTATTAACGGCAGTCAACTCGTGGTGACCACGTCTTAATTAAATAAAAACAAAAGTGATCTCATCTTATATTTTTTAAGTTAGTGATCAAAAGTGGACAAAACATAAACATAAGTGATTTTCCATGTAGTTAACCCTATTTTTATATATGAAATACTTTATTAAGAAAAAATATTATCAATATTTTTTAACATGAGGACATAAAATTATTATAAAATAATAATTTAAATACTTGTTTTAAAAAAAGAATATTACAAAGAAATTAGTAGTTAAAATAAATTATTAAGTAATAAATTATTTTTAAGGATGTTAGTATTAAATTATTAAAATAAAATGTAAATACATAAACATCCAACCATGGTCATCATCATTATTCTACTCTCTTTTTTAATAAAAATTAACGAATTAATTTAACAACTTTTTTTAATCATATTAATTCTTAATTTAATATTAAAATCGATACAAATATTAAAAATTCAGTAGTATATGATGCAATCTTTTCTTAATTTTAGTTTTAGATTGTCTTTGCGTCATACATAAAATTATAGTAATAAAGATTAGTTGGTATTAAAACAAATTTAAGTGATAATTAAATTAATTTTAATAGCTTAAAACTTCTTTATATTAATTAGAGAGATATAAGTTATTTGGTCTTATAGAAAATTATAAAATGGACCCTCGTTAAAAATTAACGACATTCTGAGCTGAATGTTAATCTAGTGTCTAAGATATGATAGTCGTTTGAGATTATGAGATCATATTATCAGATTGTCGTTAATTTATTAATGAAAAATGATGAATTTGGAACATAATGAATAGCCGAGTGATAATTATGTAACTTTTAATAGCCAGGGGACTCAACAAAGCAACATCCTACAGTTAAAGGATCATTTTGTAACTTTTGATAGTCGAGTGACTCAACAAAGTAACATTGTACAGTCCGGGGATCATTTGTATAATTTATCCTATTATTTTAGTTACTATCATTTAAATAATTAAGTGATATAATTAATAAATTAATAGATGAATAATTCATTTGTAAACTTCCCATAATGAGGTGGTTGTCAATGCAATTTACCCTAAGTCTTATAATAGTGTCTGATTTTAAGAATTGCTTTGTCGATTAATATCGAAACGTTTCAAAGACTCTGAATATATTTCGGATTTCTTTCGAATATTTCATTAAAGTACAATATATCATAAAACTTTAATTAAGGCATTTTTATGTTGAATTGTGTGTGACCATTGTTAATGTAATTTTTCTTATGTGTATTAATGAATTTTAATTCTAATATTATTTTTTTTTCAAATTTTACTCCTTCCCAAGCAAATAAAACATACACTAAAAGATTGGTTCAAGTGATTAGTAGTTGATTCCGCTTAAGCATTTCTCGAGTTTGAAAGATCGTTCTAAGAACGATGGTATATTATGGGGCATATTATTAATTGAATTTTACACTGGTTTGAAAGAAATATTATTTGGGACTCCTATTGGCGGATTTAGATGATGTTCTGATTCAAGTAGATGGTATTTTGAGTGAGCTATATGATTTAAACATAATTGAAGAACTTAAGACAACCCCCGGAATGTAAAAAGCACAAGGAAAGTGAGGAAAATTGCGTTATATGTTTGGAGGATGTAAAGGACTTGGACGCATCCAAGCCTGGTTGTCATTATTTTCCTATTTGTCATTCCCATATATTGTAACCCCTTGTGTTTCTGATTCTTCAAGATACATTTACAAATGGTTGGGAAAACTTTAGTTTTTGCTTATTTTTTTATTACTTTTGTTTCAAGTAATTGCTATTTTCTGCATCAGTATTTATTGTACTTGTTGGAGATGTTGCAACGACCAAATTGATCTTGCTATCTATTATTTCTGTGTCAAGTAATCTTTAATCTTTACCGATCAATGGGTTCTCTAAAATGGTCAAGCAAAGCCCACTGACATTTATGAAGTAGTAGCTAGCAGCTAGAGATGCTAGCTGATATATGTGCTAATGGTTGATGGATGTAAATTGTTGTTGATTATTGATGTAATAGCAGTGCCTGCAGCCTAACTAACGGGAAAGAGTTATGTAACACTTGCTATCTCCCAATTCTCAACTGAGATGAATACCGTTTAGAATATTTGGAATATATCCATCCCAGTTAAGGGTATCCCATTAATTAAAGCCTTCATATAGCAGGGCAGGCCATTTAGAAAATTTTCTACCCATGCCCTGGGAAATTGTACATGATTTCCATTCCCATTAAAGTTAATAAAAAGCTAGCTAGATTCAATAGCAAATAGCAAAGTGTCCCATTTCTTGTTTGATAGGAGAATCTCTATACGTACTGTATCAACAAAATTGGTGGAATATTGTCAAACTCTGAGCATATGGAAGGCAAAATCTCATCCATATTTATGCATATTATATACACATATATATGTCTGTATTTTTCTGGTCATCCAATTAGCCAAACAAAATGGTTTGCTTCGCTTACCGTTGGTAGAAAGTAAGCGTACAAACCCTACAAGCAAGTGTTGCTGTTCTAATGGCATCTTATGATGGGGAAATTACACAAGCCCGAACTGATGAGTTATTGCCATCTCCGAAACAGGCTGATCAGCTGATATATATTCATCTGCTGTTTAGTCTTATTCAATTACCGTCACATTCTATGCTCGGGGCCACTTCCTTGGTATTGTGGGTTTGAAGCATAGTACTATAAATTAGGCCGCAACGCAGCGTAACGCTCGCATCGTAGCGTAACGCTCGCATCGTAATGTTTTTAAGGTTATTGCGACGCAATATTGGCGCAACGCGATAAGGGAAACGCATCAAGATTGTTGCGGTAAAAAACAGTTACGTAACACCGCAACACGCTATAAATTGCGTCCCAACAAACTTTAAATTATCTGAAATATAAAATTACATATATGAATTGTTCTAATTTAATTCTTAAAATTGGATTATAAATATATATCATTAATAATATCGTAATAGTTATGTTTAAAATTAGTTACTTAAATTTGAATTAATTAAATTATTTATTAACATTATTTTAAAATTAAATTGATTTAAATTAAATTTTCTCATATCTAAAATTGACGTGATTAATTTTAAATTAAAATTTTATATTAACATTAAGTATCATAATTATATGTTTATTTATTATTATATAAATTTTGTATAAAAGAAGAATTCACTTTATAATACTATAATAGTATATATATTTTATCTATTTACTATGAAACTATAAAATTTTATCTAATATATAATATAAAGAATAAATAAATAAATTATAAAAAAATAAAAAAAGAATATATTTATTGAAAAAATAAAAAAGTGATGGTGTATGCGTATAGAGGTAAAGGCATAGAAAATCAAATAATTTGGGATCAAACCAATGTAAATAAATAATATTATAAATAAAATTAAAAAAAATGAATATATTCCTTTGATAGTATGCGTATAATAGACAGAAAAAAATAATAGTGTGTGTGATGATGATAATGATGATGGTGATGATGATATTGACGACGACGACGACGATTGTGGTTGTGATGATCATGGTGGTGATAATAAAAGTACGTACCAACCAGAATATGGACACATTTATTCTAATGTTTT